GTAGGAGTAAGTTTGCATGGAAAATTCAAATGAGAAGAGACACAAAAGCATAATGTGTTAGCTAGAACAGTAAGACTTAATAAAGCCTTCGATTAATTGTACTATAATGCGGAGCAAAAGAAGAAAACGCAAGAATGCAATTCCAAAAAATATTCATTGTACATTTCTTTTCGCGACGATAAAATATAATCTCATATACAAATTATGCATTAATTTTTAGCAACAAAACAAAAGCGCTCATGCACATAAGTGTGCAATATAGATAAGTTAATACTTTTGGTCTGGAGAAAACAAATGCAGGATCTTTTTATTCGGAGTATGTAAAATGCATCAGATGGGGAAATAGGAAAAGGTAAGAGACTGATCGTTGGGGTATTCAATTTAGAATATGGGAAGTGAAAAGGAGATAAAAAGTAAAATGAAAAATACTAACCTTAGAATGGCTAGACACAAGACTGCAGAAACTAGTGAGAAGACCGGGATTTTTTTCTATGCTCTTAAGATAGACAAATTCACGACAAGAATTTGAGATGGACTCTGAAGTGTAAGAAAGTACCTCTTGAAGAATTGTTTTAAGACAAAACGTAGGGCAAACAGTGAACTAAAGAAAATAAAAATTAGAAATGATGTATGAGAATAGAGATGAAGACAACTAACATAATAGTGATAATAAATACAATTTATAACAGTACATATCAAGTTAGAGAGGCATAAAAGTAAAATAGGATGCGAGCAGTAAGTATTAATGAAATTGGGAAATTTGATGAGGACAAGAACCAAACGAGACGTGGCGTGGGAAGCAATGAGATGTAAAAAGGCAAAAAGCTGTAATAGATCATTCATTGGACGAATAAATAGGATATAAAAACCAACATAGAAAATATGAATATTTCGAGAGAAAAAATAGCCGCAAACTAGTATGGTAATTTCTGTTCAAAGGCTAATTTTAAATAGAATATGCAAAAAATAGGATGAAATGAAAGGTAAATAATCTTACAGGAGACAGAAGAGGAAAAGGTTTGATGCTTCCCACTGCAAAATGAAAGGTGTGACCAAGGTCTACTGAAGATAATATTTCGCTACCGGAGATGACTCTGGAATTCTTGGCCATGCGATCGCTCAATATCCAATATCCAAGCATTCAGAAGAGGAAATGAAGAACTCGGCACCGAAGATAGGCGAATGAGTGGCCTCAAATCCTCAGTCAGACAGATGAACAGAGCTAAGTCGGCAAACTTGGTGGGGAGAGGAATTTTTTCTGGCTCGGTCGTATCAGCTAGTTCACAAGTTAACGAACCCAATGTTTCTGACTCAAGTATGCCAAAACAACGGGTTAGTCTCAGTCCGGCAAGGAGATAGGCCGTAGCTTGAGCTACTGGCTTATCTACACCAGGCAGTGCACGCCAAATGTCCACGTCGTCAGATGCTAGACCGGTTAGGTGTCCGGTCACAGCTGACGGCTGAGATCGCGAGTTGACTAAAATGGAAATACAATCTGGTGTCGATGAAGAAAGCGACCCATCCGATCCGACAATCACTGTTCTAGGGATTGATGAACCAGTTGAGCTTCGATGCAGAGGTGTTGTTTCTACCCAATTATCTATCGTACTGAGAGCAGATAGTTTACATAAACTTGGAGGGCTAGAGTCAGCAGCTGGAGCCCCAGAGATGGCTTGTTGTGAGTGGCAAATGTTATGAGGGTCACAAACATTGGCGGGTGGTATGAGACAAAGTGTAAGACGGTTGCATGGCGGAGTGTCCATTAGACTCCATTTGAGGGGACTGGCTAAGGTTAGGCGCTTGAAGAGTTCGGCTAAAGGACTAAATAATTTGGAAAGACCTATGGAATGGCGCTCCTGCGAAGAAGATCGAATTGACTCATTATTGGTATCAGAACTAGCAGGCGGAAGACAGCCAATGATATTAGATGGATAATTGAGCCAGGCATAAAATAAAAAATACATTAAGGGCAAGCATGAAATGTGAAATAAAACAAAATTTAATAAAAAATTATCAAAGGGATAGGGATGGACAAATTAGATAAAAGGAAAAGTAATGCTATCTAATTATAGTAGAAAATGTCTGCCATAGTAGTTGTCATGATTCTCAGCATCTGAAAGTGGACTTGATACATTCTCAAACGTTTCACCGGCATAGTAGTTGGCATCATCAGTGAGCCTTGCCATTCTCCACACCAAGATACGAACTCGTCAAAGAGACAAGTGAAGTTAATCCCTAAACAATTGTTCTGCTGGAAACGGTTACACTATCACTCCTCTTTCTGTCCTGGCCTATCTATCTACTCTTTACCCTC